GACGGGTGGTTCGTGTGCTGCGCCTTATAAGTGTATGGTTGGGAATTCGTATTATTGGCAGGTGAGTTTAGATTTCGAAGTTCATGCGTCGAATTGTGGGGAATGAGATGAGATGAGTTGATTTACTGACGAAACATAGTGTCTATGAATTCCTGGAAATAGATGAGGATTGCACGGGGAAGACCAGGAGAGATGGTGGGCAGATACGAAGTTCATGGTTTATGTTTACGCTTCTATCTATTCTATTGTATCTACTCATTCTATTGTACATACCTTTCCCATCTAAATTTAAATCTAAATCTTCATCTCCATCTCAACTTTCCCAAATCCCAATTTCCCAATCCCCATTCTTTTATTTATTTCCCCCCTCTTCTCCAGAATTCACTCCCCGCTACTAAACAGGTACCCCATGCAATGTAATGCATGCAAGAATGATAATGACATTCCACCCCATCCAGATCCCATTTAGCCTATGCACCCCAGATCACAATATCCTTATCATCTCCATACCATAACCACATATCACATATACCATATACCATATACCATATACCATATACCATATACCATATACCATATACTACATATCATATATACCCTCCTTCTTGTAGACTCGTACGAGATAAACTCCTGGGATGGATGTGGTGTGATGGATGTGTGTGGTATTTATCAACTCAACTCAACTCAACTCTTGGGAATCGGGATTCCGGACCGTTGGATTGGGGGGCATATTTCCTTTGATTTTTTTGATTTTTGATCTTGTGGAGATGGGAGATTATTTGTTTGTTTGGGGTGGTGTGATATGTTATTCGGGTAGGTTGGAACTTGGGAGGTGGACTTGGGAAGGATGGGAGGGGGGAAAAGGCATTTATTATTTAGTCGGATTTTAGCATAAGAATGAAATAGATTGTGGGGGTTGGATGGGGAGGGGAATTAGAAGGGGGGTGGGAATGTATTTGATGTATATAGAGGGTGGGAATTAGAAGTGAGTGATAGGGATGAGGTGTATTGTTTTATTGTATTGTGTTGTATTGTATTGTATTGTATTGTATTGTATCGTATTATATATAGAGATTTGTAGATATCTTTAGTTAAGTTGGATTTGTAGATTAGGAGAGGTGAGGAGAGGATTTTCTGGGGGTTTATATGAATTAGGTTGGTAGGTGGGTTGGTTGGGGTTTGTGGGGATGGGGAGGGGAAAGGGATAGCGAGGAGGAGAAGGGAGAGTGGAGAGGGAAGGGAAAGGGGGATAGGGGAAGGGGGGTGTTTGTTTGCGGAGTTGTGAATGGGATATAGGATATCAAGAGGGAGAAGGCAAAGGAAAAAAAAAGAGAAACAGGGAAGAAAGAAGGGAAAGGGGGATAAATTGGTGAGAGAGTATAAGAATAGAATGAAATGAATTCAGATTGTGAATGGTGAATTATATGAGAAAAGGAGGTGGATGATTCAGAGAGAAGTGCAAGGTACAACGAATAAGTATGATTGATAGATCTATTAACAATGAGTGTAAACGTATTTTATTGAATGAGTAGTTGTGCCAGAAACTTCAGTAGAGTTTCAAGAATGCAGTCTAGACACATACATACACTAACTATCAATCAAGACTTCTTCACAAAAACCTCGCATCCATCTCATATCTTCAATGTGATAGTGTCTTCGCTCAGTAGGTAGGTAGGTACTGACTGTTGAACTCTAGAGCGCTGGGTGTTTATGCAAGATCTAGATAGTAAATACATTGATACATTATCAAAATTGAGAACTGAGATGAGTGAGGTAGAGAATATCCGTGGTGGAGCGATACCACGATACAGAAAAACTTGGTTATATTGGACTGGGATATACCGGAAACTTGGATAACTTATACTAGACTTTTTTTCCATTTTTTTTAAATTTATATAGGAATATTGGAATTTTGATGAAAATTAGTATACTGAACTAAATTGATTAAATTCCGATATAAATTTTGGTGATCAATTTGACTAAATAAGTTATATTTTGGATGAGTAAACTTAAAAGGTTATTATTATATAATATTTTCTTGAAAATATTAGGGTTTAGAGTTAAAATCAAATATAAATTTTGATTAGAAAGCTTAAACCATTATTTTTTATATCGGAATCTTCTTTATACCGGATTTCATTGATCGAAAATTTCAGTTCAGTATAACCAAGTTCTTCTATAGCAACGGAATAGGCTTTTCTGATATTTAATATTGTTAATAACGTGGTCAGAAATCCATCCATACATTCTGATTCTTCTCACAGTAGTAACAGCATGGTGGTGAAACCTTCCACTGTTCTGTTGATCTTCCTGATACGTGTTTCCTCCATGGGCGTGGCGTCTGATTTGATACATCCGGGTTTGGGAATGGTTGATCGTATGAGATGGGAGAGTGAGTGAGTGTATCCCTTAATCTTCGCTAGAGGAAGAAAAAAAAAGAAAAGAATCTTCTTTCCCTGAGCTAGACATTAGGAAAATTTGGGGTTCATCACTTCATTGTATCTAGGCGATGCGAGGGTTTGATAGAGTAACTGTGATCTGAAAAGTGTCGAAACTACGTACTACATTAACGAATCAAAGCAGATGTATAGTTCGTGGCTTGCTGTGTCAGAGATTTGGAATAGCTATGGTACTCTTGAGATCGAACATCACTATTCGATGGACTAGATGTTATGGCGAACGTTTAATTCAGGAAGAGGTTTGATATTGTTCTTAATACTTCTTGCACATAGTCTCTCGAAGGGATATTGTATATTATATCCCTTCTCAGCCCACTCAATCCTCACTGTACAGAACCCCATCCCAGGATACCCTCGATAGCTAATCCTAATGATACAAAATTCTAGATGTCCTTGAAAAGTCCTTGAATCAAAAGTAGCTAGTCTGAAATCCCATCACATTATGCCGCTACTCATCCCGCCGTCCCATCTTCCTCATAACTTGCTGACAGTCTTCTCGTCGTTCTTCAATTCGCTTGCTATCCGACTCATAATATTCTCTTTATGACATTAACACATGCCATCAGCACTTCCAAGTCAAGAAACCCAGGTAGTCCTAACTTCAACCTCAACCTCAACCTCAACCTCAACCTCAACTTCAATCCCAATTACAAACCCCTACCTCTCAGTTCTCCTCCCCTATTCCAAAACCCCTCCCAACCCCTCCCAACCCCTCCCCAGAATTCCAAAATCTCAAATCCCATTTCCTCCAAACTCCCCAATTCACCTTTCCTCAAACTCTCCCCTTACATCGCCAAACAACCCCTCCCCCCTCTCATTATAAACCCCTACACTCCCCAAATCATCCAATCAACCCACTCAATCCTCACTATACACAAGCACCTACCCCCCGAAAGAAACCCCCCTAATCTCATACCAACAAGTCTCTCAATTCTTACTCATCACTCATCACTCACTCTGTGAGCCTCTGCTTACAAAAACATCCCGGTTTCTTACCCACCTATGTACCCACACATATTGAGACTATAGCATAAACAAGCCACATAAGATAGGGCTAAGATATTCCGCATCTATATACTAGGTAGGTGGGTAACCTTACGAGTAAGCTCCAGCTATTAGCTATTATCAGCGATTATCATGTAAGTTTTGGGGCTTATGAATTTGGAGTAAATAATGAGATAAATGAGATGGGTAAATGTTTTGAGCAACGCAAATGAGAAATCGAGTACTTATCATTCTTACCTAGAGAAGGGCACCAAAAAAGGAAGGGAGAAGGAAAGTGTTGAGGGGAGAATTGTGAATTGGTGAGCTCACTCTCAGTACTAGAGACTATTACCTTAACCCAGCACAATATATACCAAGTACTTGACTACCAACACTCAACCCTCCAGAAATATCCCCCGAGACTCCAAAAACACGTACTGACAATACCATAATACCCAACAACAAAATCCCACTCAAGAATCAAGCCTCGTCTCCCATCCATCCCCATCCCCATCCCCCAAAAAACCCTTTCCTTCCTCCCTCCAATCCCTCAAATAAGCGCCAAAACCCTAAACTTCCTCCTCCCAATCCCTCAAATAAGCGCCAAAACCCTAAACTTCCTCTCCTCCTACCACAATCCCCCCTCATACCTCGAAAAATTAAAATTAAAAGAAAGAAAAAACATCCACAACCACAGCAGTAGGATAACCAATCAACCAAACAATCAAACAACTAAACAAAAACAAATTGTCACCATCCTTTCAATCTCCCAGCGCGCTTATTTTCTCAATCATATACATTTCATTTACGACACCTCAGACCGGGGGAATGGTACGATTATATGACGACCGGCTTCTTGTGCTTCGTCTTGGCGGGTGATGTATTGATGTATTACGGGTTCGTGGGACGAGACGGGACGGGATGGATTGGCGAAGTATAGACGGTGAGATTTTTGGGCATGTAGGGATATTAGGTTCTGAGATGTTCTTGGCAGTAATCGTAGGGTTTGGAAAGGGTAGTGAGGGTGTGTAGTGAGATGTGTGGTAGATCCGGTCTCGAGGGTGATTTTTCAAATAAGCTGACTACTCACTATCTATGAAATCGTTCTAGTTAACTCCACCCCTTATTTATTCAGCCGAACACATTTCTGTAAGAGAATAAAAATCTTACGAGAAGATACACATAATGTCCTTCCTAAGAAATCTGATCATTATCTTATGAGTAAACATTATCCTCAGCTTCTGATGGTAATTCTAATCAGCCAGCCTGCTTTTTGTTCATGGAAACATCTGGCGATCCAAGACAAGAATATTGAAACTGGTATACAGGATGAAGACCTTGAAACGGAAATATATAGACTATCTCGAGACACCTACACTCCCTCCAGCAATCTCCTTCAAAAAACCACAACAATCAAAACCGTCATCACTAGATGACCAGCTTCGAACTAAACATAACAAACAAACGGCTCCCTACCTACACCATCGAAGCAATTGGCTTTCCTATTTCCTATCCCTCTACAAATTAAAAGAACACTTCAAAAAACCATACTCCAAAATGCCCCCTTTAATCCCCTGCGATCCATCACTAGTAATGGCCAACATAGTCAGTGACGAAGCTCTCCAAATCGTATCCCAAATCTCCGCCTTCCAAGCTCCCGTCGATGCCGCCCAAGAAGAACTCAACACCCTTCTAACCGCAAAACGCAGTCTCAAAATGACATGTATAGAACTCATGAATCTCGGCATTGGCACCAGCAAATTCAGCGACTCAATCGAGAAACTAGATTCCCGAATCGAAAGCGCCGCATGCGACTACGCCGAGGAGAAAATTAAATCCGAAGAGAAGATCCAACCGCGTCGCGCACAAATCAGAAGCGTTCATGTGAATATGGAAAGCCCAGTGGATTACGTCAAAACGCAAATTAAACGCATGCCACTGGCTTCCGATTCGTTAAATATGGATTTTTACCAATGGTACAAATTGTCAAGAGTCCAAATCGCTGGCGAGTAATGTATCTGGATACGCATCTGCCACGATGAAATGGCTTGGGAATGATGTCGCGGCGCACATGACTCGAGCTGCTGCACATCAGGTCAGCGATCAAATATCCAAACACAGTATCTCGGGTACTCTTGTGATTTCCGTTTCTTGTACGCATAAGAATGCATCCGTTTGAGCACCGTTCGCGCTCAATGTCGACAAAGCGATTAAAGTCTGGAATCGTTTTTTTTAAAGACGACAAGATTGTCCCGACTAGCACAAGCAATATATTGCAAATTGCTCAACAGGATGAATCCAATTCTCCTGATGCAAAGAAATTCAGCATCATTTCAGGAATTTCGTTTGGATCCAATTTCGTGGGTATGGTGCGTATCTTGAATATTACGAGCACAATGGCCAGTGACAAGATGAACAGCGTGGTGGAATCGCTTCAACAACAAATGGATCTTGCCACGTTCTACGAAGGTTCGGCTGGCGGATTTGGCGCAAACTCGTCTATGGCAGACAACGTCAAAAGTTTGCTCAATTCCCAGAATATAAATTCTCACGTCACGATGATCTGCATAGGTGCCATTCCCTGTATAGTATCCAACGGCGTCAAACTAGGTGTTGAAAAATCTGCCAAATTCGATCCTCAATCAAGTCTTGACGGACTAGCCGCCCTACAATACGCCACTCAAGCTGATCAAGGCACAGTTTCGCAGGCGGCAGAGGCAGCGCGCACAGGTGCCCAAATGATGTCCATGAAAGCCAGCGATGTTAAATCCTCCCTCTCGGCTCTGGTGGAGATAGATGACGGTTCGAATAAGGTTATCGATATTAATTCTACGATGACTGCCCTTGAAGGTAATCTCAAGAAAGCTGCAGAAGGTACTTCAGGTGTTCCGATCAATTACTACTTGAAAGATCTTTCAAAGAGTATGCTTGCAGAAATGTGGGTGGCTAAATAGTATCCTGGGAAATATATGGCTATTTCATATGATGATGTAGCTCCATCATCGGGACCTCCGGGTGCTTCAGCGACAGGAGGAAGCTTCGCTGAACAGACTGCTACTCTAGCGGTGTAGTAGGTTTATAATGATAGGATTTTTAGGTAGTAAAAATTTTGTTTCGGTGTTTCGGCATGAGATCAAAGATATGTGTATTGATTTAAGAACATAGAAGCGATAGAATTAGTTTAGCAATTCAATCCATCATCAAAGAAAATTATCAATGATTATAAGTATTGGTTTCCGTCATTCTTTTTATTTCTATGAATATCCACTCGAGAGCCATCCGTGATATTCTACAAGCCTAAATGACAAGTAATCTGAGTTCTAGAGTAGGAAAAGAAAAATATTTCGAAAGAATTTGGCAACCCTTCCTACATCTACGTTCCACCTTTAAGAATGGGAAGGCTCTCTCTTGATATCTACCTAGTAGTATTGCATTAGTATAGTATAATCAAAGTATCCACTTAGTGTCGATTCTGCTTGTTGATCAATGCTTGGGGAAATAAAAACAAAGTTGAGCTGACGATAAGAAGTGTTGAGAATGAAAGACCGTAATAATTTGCTTTCAGCTTGATTGGATCTGGTGGAATGGGCCCAGGCATGGGTAAGGGCTTGGAAAAAGGGCTTGCTTGATACAATTCTCTTGAGTACGGCTTTGAAAGTTATATCAGAGTGAGTAAAGAAAGGAAGAAAAAAAAGACAGTGTGTAATCGTCTAATTTTATGAACAAATAAGTTCATAATGTCATCTCGTCTGAAGATTTTTGTTGAAAGGTTACTACAGAGATTGACAATACATTACTAGCCGTCAACTAGAAAGCAAGATCGATCCCCTAGTAACTTACCAAGTCATTGATGGAGCTTCTTGAAAGCACAATCAAAAGATCCTTCAACAGCACAGCCTGAGGGAAAAGCTCAAATATCCAAGCAAACAATGCTTTGCTTCAGAAAAACGTCTTTAGTGTACATTCTTGGATGCAGCTTAGTTGATTTGGCAAAGACTCCCATTCAGACTTCAGCCAATTCTTGTTCTGCCCCATTGAGAAAAAAAGGCAACTTGCCTCATTATCAATGTTTCTGACCATAATCCGTAATTCAGAGACACTAATGTAGGTGATAATTAGCATGGTAATGATACGTCATCACTTGCTCAAGTAATGTCAATGAATGGACATGGAATCAATGGAACCATCTCTGCCCTATGATGTGTGGAACTTTTCACAGCTATCTGAAACATTGTGTGGTAATTGCTTGTGGAAAATCATAGTCCATGAAGTAGTATGAGGCTGCTCTGGCACATGATTGATGCTGGGTTATTGCAGGTGCCTACATTCTGGTTCAAGAGCCCGATAGACGGCTGGCTGCATGGACTAGATGGAGAAGTATTGTATGTCCAGATAAGACGAGTTGTACAAGTGATGGGCGATCATCGGAGGGCTGAGAAACAGATGTTGAGAGGGCAGATATTTGTGTGAGCCCTATGGTGGAAGTACAAACACACAAGGTGGGTTCGTTTGATATGTAGTGGATTTTCTGCTTGAGTTCCTACAGCATATAAGCGTGGCCACAGAGAGGAGGATTTGCTGTTGTACCAGCAGACAAAATGAAAAGTAGTAGTGAAAGAAGAGCAAAGAACGAAACGGCTACTTTGAGAGAAACATGGCACTGAAACAATTCTTGATTAAAGCAAGCTGTTGATTCGGTGACCTCCGAAATAGTGTCGAGTAAAACTTTTCTCGGAAGATTTTTTAATCTTGAACAACACAACGTCCGTTCCGTTCCATGGAATACTCGAGACCAGAATGTAGATTATGCACCAATTGATATTGTACAGTATCCGGCGCAAGGCGACATGACTGATGCTAATGAGAGCGGCAAGGATGCATTTATCAATTCAGAAAGAATGTACGAGCCAGACAGTGCAGCCCTCCAAAACCCACATATTGAAATCTTCTGTAATTTTGATGATAGTCAAAATGTGAGACGTCAAACTGCCATGAGACATGGATACATATTAGGAAACGATTGATAACCTTGGGCTGATTGAACGGACAGAAAAATGTCCACACAAATCAAATCAATAGAGAGCTGATAACGCAGGAAAGAGCGAACGAATGAATCCAATCCAACGGACGGCATACATATGGATGATAGCATTCCTAAGAGACGTTGTACAGAAGGAGCGGTGGAAGCTGGACGTTGAGGTGATTTTTAAGAGGCACATTATCGTAATATGGAGGGTGCAGATCCAACCATGCCAAGACATCATTCTGTACCACCTTTCACACCTTCATGGATCATTTTTGGCCCTTTCAGCTGTCATTATAATCGGATGTAATTATGGTGGATCCATTGACGATTTATGGAAAGGCTCCATTAATAAATGGATTTCATTGGTTTTGGACTATTAAAAAATGATAATTAAAGTTAGAACTAATTAACTAATTAACTAATTGTCTAATTGTCTAATTGTCAAATTAAGCACGCTCGACGCTTGACGCACGGTAATTAAAACGACCTAATCTACTGTGCCTAGGTGTTAAACATCTATCTATGTGATAACCTGTCACCGAATCTAATCTTCTCGCCTTGTCATCACTCTCATCAGCAATGACCTACCTGGGTAGGTAGAGGAAAGCTCATACCCAAGTCAAGCGTACCAGGTATCTTGAGACAAATCAATAGTAGGTAGTCCGAGCTACAATTTGTGTATAGATATGGATGGTATATGGTATGGGGTTGGCGGAGAATGATCCGCGAGGCAAGGGATACAAAGAGAGGATGCACTCAACTCCAGTCTCACTATGTGATCAGTGACCGGCAAACATCCCTCCCAACGAAGTCATCTCTTCCTTATATACCTATAGGGACTAAAAATACTCTCAATCGTATTGATAGAAAAAGCTTGAATCAGGGAAATGGCGACGAAACAATAGTTGATCGGAGCACCATGAAATTTAAGGTTTTATGCCGATTCTAATCTGATGCTGACGCTGACGCTGGTGCTGATGCTGATGCTGATGCTAATGATATATTGCCGTCTCGACTCCCAAATGAAGAAGTCACGATGATATGGGATCCTTCCTTTTATCGACCAGAAGAACTGCAAGGTAAACAAAAACCAAGTCTTTGCATTCATATAGCCTAGTATTCTCGGCGTTATTCATGAAATGCATGCAGAAAGAAAGAAGTCTTACTTGCTCGAAAGTTCTTAATCATCCATCGTATGCATATCGCTCTTGTGCTCGTTTGCTTCTTCCCTTCATCAACTTTTCATCAACTCTTCGTACCATCGAAATTCTAGACTTTTCTACTTTCACACCTTTGTTTCAATATCCAGAATTTCTCCATTTACATTGAATCCCATCAAGAAGAACATCATCGCTGTACTCGATACTTTAATACTTCGAGACTTTGACGTTCAATTCAACTCCATATCCATCGCTTCATAAAATTCCCTTCGAATCCACTTATGAGTACTTGTACCATCTTGTATGCACAACATTTCCATAACCCCACGTTACTCAGAATCACCCCTCAGAGTTCTTCCCACATTACACTGCTGGTACTAAATACATTATGCAGCAATAAATAGCAGCCGGCAAACTCTCTAAGAACCCAAGTAGCACTGCAGTCAGATTCTCGAGTTAGGAAACAAACGGCGTTACATAAGATTTGACTCTTTGAACTTCCAAATAAGCATCATATTGTTCCATTTTGCTTATTCCAAGATAAGGATTAGGGACTCGCATTTCCCCTGCACCCAACTCAGCAACATTGGAATAGGATCTGGTCGACATTTGATTTCCATCTCTTGTCTAGATACTTGAAGCATCACGATTCACGATTCTTACTCGGAGCCTTATCAGAGCTGTTGGAGCCCTTTTCCATTTCCTAAACCGATATTGGGGAGATATAAACCTTCATTCTTTACAGGCAATTGTATCAATTAGTTGGATTGAGTTGGCTGGTGGTCCAAGAAATCTGGCGTATCTAAAAGTCTTTGCTCTCTTCCTCATAGGGTGACTGAGGGAGGTTGTAAATCGGAATTTGAAACTTCAACACAATCAACTGGATCGATTGGGTGCTTTATTAAGTGAAGGTTGAATCATTCGTTAACACAATTGTTAACAAAATTGTCAACAAGCTCGGCCTTGAAGATTCTCCGAGCCGAGTTGTTCTCCTACTCTTCAGACGAGAACACTAGTACAGCAACCCTGCTTGTTGTTTGCTTCAACTTGAAGATTTCACAAAAAAACATCTCGCAAAGAAACTATGGTATGAAAGATCGTTGATAACGTATTCTTTGGGATTCTACGTCCACTCGCAGTAAGTATTTCTTGAAGTGTTCATACTCCTCCCTACCATACAAATGAGTTTGGATATCCCACCGTCTTGATTATTATCCCTTCTATGAATTGTTCGAGGAATAGCCAAAGGAGCGTTCCCGTGATTCCATTTTTCTGTCCCTGGGCAATAACATCCTATTAGAAAATGTCCAAAGTTGTTGCTAATGTAGTTTTAGACTTTTGTTCCTTATTAACTCGGTCACCAAACCTTTCAACCAGCTCGCACCATCAGTAATTCACTGTTGAGGAGCTGATCTTGGCAAACAGAAAATTGAGTAAAAGGTAAGCCATCCATCAAATATTCCAATAGGGACATTCCGAGATTCACTTTCTCTCCCTGCTATCCACCTTAGCGTCGAACTCCTCCCCTTTAAGAATTTGAATTTTCTCAATTTCAGACTTCGATCTTCCTCTCTTCAACTCACAAATATTTTACAACTTATAAGAATCGATTGTTAATTCGATCAGAACTTCAGCAATAGCATGGAATGATTCTATAAGTTCATGTATTACAATATTACACCATAATTTTGTACCATTCTTTCAAAGTTGTCAAGTCAAAGCTGATCAAGCGTCCCTCAAGTTGCGCCTTGTTTTCAGAAGTTAAGAC